TGATCAATATAGAATTTGATATTTATTTAAAACTTATATGATGAATGTATTTTTAGAGATAAGAAAGTTTAATGTTTAACGGGATAGAAAAGAAAACTAACACTATTGGCTAAATTTCTTCAATAATCATTTCGCATATGAAAAGCTGAATTAGGAGAATTATGATATTCTAAATTATATTTTCTAGAAGAAGGTTTTAAAAGTGGGTTGTTTAGTCTATTCAAATATGTTTAAGACGATTAACTGTTGTATATTTTAAGTAACGAATTATAACTAATAATTTAGTATCTAGCTTAACTTGGCTTTTTATGTTATAGATTTCTTGGGCTAGATTTTACATGTCGACTTTTTTTGTCGCAGTAATCCTCACATAAGAAAATTGACATCTTATAGTTCATAATCAAGTACTTCAAATATTATGGTAGGTTAAACAAGTATTTGATTATTTTAGCTAGAATTAACTGGAGGATGAACGTATGTAATCAGTTCGTCACTATCTACTATGAGATAACTTATATTTTAGTTCAGCTAGCCTTTGTTAGTTCATCATGTCTATTTAAATCTGAAACCAGACAATATTTAAATCCGTTAGTTCAAAGACTTTCAGGTGTGATTTATAACGGAATTCGGCTTTAGTCATACTACAGCTTCTAATTCACTTATCATTAAAGATGAAAAAGACAATGAGAGCACATTATTCTGGCAGAATACGATAGAATGACACTCTATGGGTTACAATTTTATTCGTTAAATGAATACCCCAACTGCATACATTCGTTGGCATGTTTATAAGACTTCTAAAACAATAATTATGTGCGTGAGCTTCGCTTTTGTGAATAACCCCATTCTAATTTCTCCTTGTCATTCAGCCTTTCATATAACTAAAAAACTAGTATTATAAATTAACATGATTTATAACAAACACTCCACACACTATTTTTTTTTCGATGAATTTATATTCTCTGGGCTAAACTGTTTAGTCATAAAGTTCACATTGTTTTCCCAATCAGTATAATCAGAGGAAAGTTTAAACGGAAATGAGCTATCACAATTTATCTACTAGTGACTGATATCTAGTACTGCCAAAATTGTATTCGTTATTATTACTTATTATCCATAGCTAGAATGTATTTCGAACTAGTACTCTTATTGGTTTGTCAAGGACATGAGTAGAATGATATTGAGTCTAAACATTTTAGACATAGTTAGGCTTAAATTTGTCAACAAGGGAAGGTTTATTAAGTAATTTTCGTTTAATGCTCTTTGGTTCTGCATTTCAGTAAAGGTGCAAAAATGATAGTTTTAATTATTAAAAGTACATTATACAGCAGGTTAATTTGGCATTTACTTACAACCATAATTTTTATTGAGCTAATCAGTAAAGTTAAATTTTGTAGTTTATTACGATATAATAAAATCATTTGGTAAAGAGATACCCTCTGATGCAGATTGGTACAAGCTGAATAATATTCAGTAATTTGAAGAAATTAATAAAATTTGAGACCCTTAACAAGTGTACATTCATAATCATAGGGAAAAACAAATGTAAAGCCTTTAGTTTTCACCCTAATCATGAGTCACTGGACATAACTCTAATGACCTGGATGGTGTAACACACCGAGTTATGTCTCCTTTAACTCTAAGCCTTCCAAGTGGTAGCTAGCCTATTAAAGTTTATTATCATGTGAATGTCTTTTTCAAAGAAGTATGCTAACGTCACTGTGTTGTAACTGCAGCGAAGTTTTTGATACAAATCACTTTGTGGATGTGTCGCTCGTTTTCGTGGATTGTTTGATGTTAGACATTAACACAGTAGGATACCGGGTCAGTGGTCTGGAGGTTAAGCGCTCGCACGCGAGACTGATAGGTTTTGGGCTCCAATCTCTCAAGGTGGGGTCGTGAATGCGCACTGCTGAGGAGTCCCACAATATGACGAAACGTCCGTCCAATGCTTCCAGGTTTTTCATGGTTGTCTAGCTTCAATTGACTCATGATCTCAATTACTGAAATTACCATACTATCCACAAAAAACCCTTCTGATAAAAAATAAATAAGTCATTCTGATTGATTGTTCAATTGTGGTATTTCGCAATTTGTTGTTGATTTTTAAATAAAATCAGATAAATTATTAAAGAATAAACCTGTTTTAGATCCAAAAGTTAGACAAGTTTTTTAACATCAGTCATCATCTACATTATACACATGTCAATTTTACTAGGTGATCGTTTCACCAGTTTAGCTTCAAGTAGATAATGGGAGAAGAAATACTTTCAAGTTAACATGACAAATTAAAAACAAGTGATATAAAAGTGTATGATTACAAGTAGTGTGACGATAAGGAACAACACCTCATTGGTTCTTAATGAACTTCATTTTAATGTTTGACTAACTGTTTTTTTTTGTACAGTCACCTTGGTTATATCAACCATATGCCGGTAGAAGTCTTTGTTTTTTTTTTATTAATATCGGTATCTTCGTCTTTTTGTGAACAGTACTGTTTTGAGAACTTTGCGACTTGTCAAAATCTAGTTTTTTCAGAGAGAAATATTACTCTTCTATAGATCGATAATGTATGGTGAATGAAATGAAGAATTTTTATATAAAAGGAAAGATGTTAGCCAAAGTTTAGTTAAAATGCGCTTCTATGTGGATTGGCAAGATAAGGAGAGAGATTGTACAAACTTCTTTTGAGTACAAAAGTTAGGTTTGTGGATAAAGAATTCAACAGCTTAAGCAGTATGCAAAAGACGACCACGTGGACTATGTGGTAAACTTGATGGAATACGATGGACAACCTTAAAAGCTTTATTATGGTAAACTTAAGTCCTGTCTCCACCACGTGATAATTTTTACCTTTCCTTTGCTCAGCTAAGATGGAAAGGTCATTTTCAAACAGATCAGTGCGCGTACCTGTTAATATATTTTTTTTTGAAGTAACATTCATAAATTGTTTTGAATACTATGATTTACCAGATAGTGGTCAGTATCAAAGTTCTATCTTCAGACAAGTTGATTCGTAGCTATAAAGGTCATTTTAAATAATCATGACCTTATCACATGATGTACAATTATTTTTTAGTTCTACAAAAGTTTAAACTGTTTTGCTTAGTACTTAGAGATCGTTTGCTTTAAGGAATTGGTTACTACATAACATTTATCAAAATGTGTAGCTACAACTTGTGTAGTTATATTTTTCTGAGTATAATCAAGGTGAAACCTAACTAGTTTATAGTAACATGCTTTCATTAAAGCTAAATTGTAATAGGTGTACACTGTCTAATATTCTCGAACTATAGTGAAATAAATGGTTAGAATAATTCAATTTTTAATCAATTTTAGCTACTGTTATCATTTCAGCGGTTACTTTCTTCCTATATAAGTAAAGAATCATCGTTTTATAAAATAATACAACAGAAAAAGGAATATTTCTGATTATTTTAGGTTCTAATACGTCCAAAATACCGTTTTATTAAAAGGTCATGCAGTATTACCTGGTACTTTTCTGTAGTTAATCATTAGTTGAATATTATATTGAAATGTATATTGTAAAACGTTTCATGGAATGTGTTTCTATTGTTCCTATTATCACAATGTCAAGTGAAATCATGACACAACTTTAAGCCTCCAATAACTGATACATTTTCACCATTGAATCTAATCTAAGAAAAAGAAGCGTTTAAATTTAGAAATGATGTTTAGATAGAAGCTGTAATTGTAAAATTTCCTGACTTTTAAAAGATTCAAAATATATTTCTATTTAAATAGTTTAGCTGTGGTTTCATTGAGTCGCTGTATGAAATGGTTATTTACCTTAGTGTATATTAAATAGAATAATTGGTTTATATGGGTCTAAGTATATAACCTTAAGTAGTATTAATTTTATTTGTATATTTCAAGTTTATGTTAGTCATATTTGGTTGGATTAACTACAGATCATGGTAAATTCATAATTTAATACAGTGAATTTGTTAGAATGCACAATGAATTTGATAATTGATACTTTTAAACAACTATTGAAAATCTTTATTCAAAAAGCTAAAGTAATGTTTCCGTCTGATTCAGATACTTAGAATATACCATCTAATGATGTAATTGAAGGAACTCTCAATGACTGCATTTTTTTTCTTAAAATATTTTGTGCGAATTAATATTTTCGTTTTCATTGGTGATTTGCTTTTACGGTTGTATATTTCACTTTTAGGACTCGGTAGCTAAGTGGATAACACGATGGCGTTTGAAGCGAACGGTGTTGGGTTCGAGTCTCAGAGTGAACACTAACTCTGTGATGCAGGTACATCCAGCTGACGAGTCCCAAATAGGAGGGACGGCACGTCCTGGATTCCACTGCTAGCCACTATATTTCACTTTCCTAATGTATAATATCACTGATGAATTAAGTTTTGAAGTATGTTACTAATAACTGTTAGAGATTATTAGAGTAGATAATAGCATATTCCTTTTGTTCATATCCTAATTGACATGTTACTTCAAGAAGCCATTTATTTATATTTAAATTATCTACTGTGAAGTGAGAATTTAAAACCTAGATTCACAGCTTGTTCCTTCAATTATCAAAGATAACTGAGTTAGAGTAGTCAAAACAGGAAATTTTAATACTGAACAGCAATAAAAAGTTTGGCGGATGATTTTTTCGAATAGAAGTTTTTTCATTGACTCTCTAAGAGTACATAATAGTCTGGAATTTATTCATATTTTTTTAGATTATAGCATAAAATGACAAGAACGAATTTATTCACATTTGGTGTCCCAAGATTATATTCTATATTGGGTTATTATGTGGATGTATATTAAATGAAACAGTAACAGATAAAACAATTTACAATTATGAAATACCAATCAAACCAAGAATATCTCATCGACAGAAGCAGTTGCTAAAGTCAATCCATGTGCCAGAGATTAGTTTTGAAGTTTATGGAGAATTCCCAACAATTAAGCACTTTGATTTATTTGAAGATGAGATAACTTCCAAATATCAAAAAATGTCACGATTTCTAAATTTACGAGAAAAGCGCGACTTACAAAACTCAGCGGAAACTTTCTTAAGTGGTAAGACATATTGTTTTTTTCGGAAAGATAACTTTGTGTTTTAGGACTGGTGTGATACCTATACTAGGTAATCTAGCCTAAACACCCTTTATGTAATCTTCCGTAACTCATCTACGATTTGATTTGGTCTAACTAAGTGAAGTTCAAACTGATTTAATTAATATAGGCGTATACAAATACAGTTCTAAGCTTAGAAATCATGATCGATTGTGTTCAATCTTTTAGTGAGAAATGATTTCGAATTTTTACAGGTGCTTACCTATATAAGTTGTACTGACTTCGGCGACCGACCTATATGCTTGAATAGGAAGATAGTCCAATGTTCTTCTAAACAAGTAAACTGTTAATCATAGCTGATCGTACCATGTATACTTTAAAAGACTGATATTGGTCTCATTCACTGTAACAGTACCCGTGATATAATATTATTTATGCAAACATCCCAACTATAACAGTGATTGACTAACTTGTCATTTAATCTTTATGTATGCGATAAGGGTAATAAATAATTCTTCCATTAAATAGAAAGACATTTAACAGTATTATGGATTGAGATAAGACACTTGGAACATGGACCTGAATAAATAAATCTTCCTGAATGTATATCTGATCAAGATGTTCTTTGTATGCATGTCTATAAAATAGTTTAAAATATTTTGAGGTAGCTTCACTTTCATAGTCCTTTTTGATAAATATTATAGCTATTCAGTAGGCAAGTTAATATATCACTGATATTAGATCAATATAACTGAAATATTACCATCATTCTGATGATTTCGGTTTGTCTTTTTAGATAAACATTCAGTTTTGATTAAAAGTAGAATTCATTCTCCATTGAAGAATTGGGATGATAAATTAACTGATCCACAATCTAAAATATACAAACTGTTATCAACTAGTTATTGTGAATTTGTAAGTAATATGTATCATATCTGAATAAAAAAATGGTTTTAAAATATTTTGTTTACTTAATAACTAGATAAGAAATTTAATTATTTCTTTTGATAAAAGTTATAAAGTAATTATGAATTACGAATATTCTATGTAGTCATAATGAACAGAGTAAGTACACATTTTGTTAGTAAGAAAAGCTGTGAAATGTTTAGAGAAAATTAAATGAAAAACATCAAAATCGTACATCATGTTATCGAATTGCGATAGTTTTCTGTATCTGACTTAAGTTCATTTGAATCTTATGATTTTAGGGAAAGAGTGATTGCTACGAGTATATGACAATATCTTCCACACATACGTCTTAAGTTAATAATTCTAATTAACAAACTGTTATAACTTGTGAACCTGTGTGCCCTGTTTATTGTATAACGCAACAATACCGCCAATCAGAGAGCAGCGAATTATCGACCGAACCAGTGACGCATAAAACACGTGCGAGCAACCTAGAGTCCGGATTAGTCTCGCTTCCTGTCTAGCCCAGCCAGTGAAGTCCAGAACACCAATCTCAGCCTCTGCAATATGAATCATTTATTTCAAACATACTCGGTTTATATATCAACCAGACAGACCACAACGTACCATAAAATATGACACAACATTTGTACAGGAATTAGCCAAAAGTGGCTGTGAATGAGGGAGATAGTAATTAATAGACAGGCCATAACTCAAGAATGGTAAATCGTATAGTAATAGTCTATGGGTCAAATTAAAGCTTATAATAAGAGCGACATGAATATGAACAGTTTAGTTGCATAACAATTATATGATAAAAATATACGTTTAGTATTGGTCCAGAAATGGATCCCAAAAATTACCATTCATTATTCTTATCGAGATATAACACAAACTGTATAACTGTATCCGTACTACAGTTCACTCAGAAGATAGTTAATGTTGAATTAAAGTATTTAATAATAAATTCACTTAATTACTGCGTATAACACAGATATTAGTGTTAGGTATTAATGGAGACTGACATATTTACTGGCTTCACTTTTTAAGATTGTCTTATAAAAAAACATTCGACAAACAAATTTCATCATTTCAATTATGTTTTACTACGTAACTTATTTGTTTCCACAAAAGTTGTTTAATAATATTCAATCATTTTTATTAACTTAGGTTTAGTCTACGATGGTTTTATTCAATTTTCAATTATTATTTTTTTGTTTAAAAAAAATAGTTACTACAAAGTTTTCGGCATGCGAATACAAGTCAATTTAAACAACCAAAATGTACGTTTATAGAATTCACAAAAGGTTCTATTATACTCAACGCAATACTAACATTTAACGAAGCGAATTATTCACTATTATCTTCACAAGATCTATCAAATTTATTGATAAAAGGCAGTGAAGAATTAATCAATTCCATAATTAGTGATAAAAATTTTTCTCTAGGATTTAATTTTAATGGAGATTTTTCACTCAGATGTAAGTTTTCTTTGTATTTAATATAAGTGAATACTAAATGGATAGAAAAAACTGTTACTATCGACATATAGAATAAAAAAATACTACTTAACTAATAATTTACTTGTATTCTATATACTTGATAAAATGTTTTTCTGTTGAATTTATTTGAATAGGCAGTGTAATAGCAAAAGATTAGTTGTAAGGGGATACAGAAATTAAACAAAATATGGTAATACAAATGAATTTATACTCTATTAATACATGGATCACAGTTATTCTTCTTATTCAGCACTAACAATATAAATTTAATACTACAATCAGTTATTTCAGTCCCAATGATAATATTGTAAGAAACCTATGTTAATATTGTTCAGAAGACAAACAGACTGGCTGATATTTTAGAAGTGAAGACAATATTCTTTTCGGATTCTTTTTAATCACATGACATATAAGAATGATCAAACGGTATCAACTTTAGCATTTTCTTCTGAAGTCAAGAATAATTTATTATTATCATACCACACAGTTATTGGGGAGATTGCTGATTAAATGTCATCAGATACTTTGGTAGGGCAAATGATTTTGAAGTATTAATGTCTTATCCCTTGACTGAAATAAAAGTTTTGTTACTGTATTAAGTTTAAATCTGTTCTAAGAATAAACGGACTCCAATTATGTATATTATTTAATGTATTTTGAGGCAATTCGCATCATACAGTTGTTAAATAGTAAGAAACCTAATGTTGTCTAATTACCGCGGCTTACTGAAAGATACTAATCAAGTTAGTGATGTAGTCCCCACCGTAAACTAGTTTAATTTTAGTTGGTTGGAAACAATAAATGATCTTGTAAATGTTGATGGAACTTGGCGTCTGACTCTTCTAACTTCGATGGATAACTCTGTAAACAAGATGGCACGTTTGTCAAGTACAAACGTTTCTATTTGTCAGTCAACGTTTTCGTTAACATCTGACGGAAGAACAAATGAATATTTTCTAATCATAGCCTTTACAATTTTAGTTACAGTTAAAGATCAGTGAAATAATCACATGCCCTCTTTATGACATTTTTAATTAGAAGTACCTGACATAAAAGGTGATGCGAGTTCGGATACATTTGCGTTACTGGATTGGCTATCGTCAGTAAATCTCCTGTGAGAATCCCAAGCAGGCCTCGACTGTTAGTTGAGAGTCTGAAGAATGGTACAAATTTAGAAAGCAGTGTTGAAGTTGCGATATGGTTTGTGATAACCATTAAATTTACAGCTAGGGCCAAAATTTGATAATGAAATAAATTCTCCTTATTACTTTGTTTGTCCCATCAAAACCAACCACATCCAGGAAACACGTAGTCAAATTAATTTGATCGGTAGTGATGAAGAAAAATTGCTTCAGATTATTATCTTCAGTCATCTGATACGCGCAAAACTCATCCTTTCAGTTCTCCGTAATCCCCTACATTTCATAAATATAAGTGTACATATTTCTAACTTTGGAGATTAGTCTTTGAGAACATATTGAAGACATATTACGGATTTGACTGGTATACAAAGTGTACAACTTTAAAAGCTTCCACCTCTGGAATAAACGGAGGTTGGACAATTTCAAATTTTGCGTCAGTTAATATCCGGATTCATGTGTTGTTGTCGTAGATTGGGAAGTTCCATTAATGATTGTGATATTGAAGGGATTAGACAAGAGAAGACGAAAATATTTTTAAAATGGGATGAAAAACGTTTTTTATGAAAAAAATACAGAAATCACTGGGACATATATACCATTCCAACTGTTATAAGGAAGACTTGGATCTAGATTTCATACTAGATAACGTACTCCTTGCCTTAATAATGTCAGAACCTAAAAGAGACATTAGCAAAGATGGTTGATTTCATAGTTGACTCAAAAATTAGTAACAAAAGGTGATTTTTTCGTTTGTTCAAGTGAATAGTAAGTATTACGAAATGCGAAACGCTGATAATGACACTGTTATCTGTCTAAAGAAATTTCGTCCATCTAAGCTTTGAATATTTTTTGAATCCATATTTATAACCAAGTAAATATAACTAAGTTATGGATACTAGATAACCAAATTCATATATTAAGAGAGCATTTGGTCAATAATATGCTGGATGAAGTCTTACTGGGCAATTAGATACTAAGAATCATTTAACCAGTCAAGCATAAAAATGTTTATGAAAGAAAATGAGATTAAATGGATGTAACCATGACCAGTGAGAAGAAATCGAATGTTTTAAAAAATATTCAGCGCACGGCTAAGATGATTTATTACGTTCAAAAGTTTCTTTGTGTAATCGTAACCAATGTTATAATTAGTACGACTGAATAATTGGGAAATATTTCTTTATTTCATTTGTTCTCTATATGAAAGGATATAAAAATAATTATTAGTCATTAATATTTACTTAATTTATTGTTTAATTAAATTTAGTGACTGAAATAAAGGAAGAAAGTACTGTATTACTTCCAACATCACAACCGCTATCATCATCATCATCACCACTTTCGATCACGACGATGACGACAACAATAACGATGGCTGACGCAAATGAAATGTACTCATACATGAGGAGTTCTATGGATGAAATTCAATCAAGTGGTATGTTTACATAATCTTATTACAATATCACTGGTAGTTAGATATATGTGAATTAACTTTCATCTATTTGATTAAAAAAAATATACCCATTAAATCATAAAAGAATTTATTCAGCAAAGGTATCCTTTATAACGAGTTCTTTCTCAATGCTGTACAACCGTATATATGTAATAAATTCTAAGCCAATGAGTAGTGGCATATCTCTCGGAATTTGATTAGGTATATTGTGAAATTAACCTACATTACTTGAATGGGGGAACTTGAAACTTGTTTGATATCTATTCAGCTTATCTTTTTACGTTCAACCATACTACTTTTAAATAGTAAGTAGTTCGAGTAATTGCTACCATTTTTAATGCTTGTTAACTGTGGCAAGTGGGTGATTTCTGATTCTCGTCAAGGCTAAGAAAAATTACCACATTGAAGGGTTTATTAATATCTGTGTAAAAAACTTATGGTTTATTGGGGGATGGTAGAGAACTAATGAAATTAACCTATTATTTACAAGCATGCCTAACATAAATTTTCAAGTACTTATCAGTGAACATTTTAGGATCCTTTTAAAACGGTCTTTGAATGAATACAAATTATTGATTGATTTCTTTATGTTTATGTATCCTATGTCTTTTAGTTACTGACTTCCTAATTTGTCCGTTCTTTGCAAGAAGAAGTACAATGTAAGATAATATGTAAAGGGCATTTCAATTTTCTTCATCTTACCTAGCTTCACTTATAAAATCTTGCTTCAATACTTTTTCATCATTAACATAGCCAACTAGATATTCGCACCAGGATAAAACTTGATAGTGAGACACGAGTTCGACGGAAACTACACGACTTTGAGGCATTTTCATTCAGTGAGAAATTTTGTTGGTATATCAGATTAAATTGTTTATCCAGAAAGTATACTTATTTTATATCTTTACAAAACAATCAAATGAGAACCGGAAAACACTAGGCAGCTGTCTTGTCCCAGTGTTTGACTCTCCAACAGCCCACGTTCACGATCCCTCACACAAGACTATAACCTGGGAACATCAAACTCGCTCAAAACCTTAGCCTTCAGGCTACTGAGTCGGTAACTGACGGTGTTATTGCCGAACTATAATCGATCCATGATTTTGCACAACCCTTCATCGATTGTCTTCGGTGGGTAACTGACTCACACTCGACACGGATTAGACTCCACTGGTCATGGTTTCTCAATAGAACTCCGGAAATTCCACTTTGAAGCTAGTCACGAATAAGCACATGATTACTATCAGAATGTGGATTTGTGTATTGGAGTATTATCCATGTTGGGTGAAGACAGTTATCTACCTAAGACAATGGATGAAGAGCTGTGCAAGATCGTGAGTCGTTTGAGGCTAGACATTAACACCGTTGGATGCCGGCCCAATGGTATAGAGGTTAAGTGTTTGCATGCAAGGTCAGAGGTCCCAGATTAAATTTCCGCGTGCGGGATCGTGGACACTTCTAAGGAGTCTCATACTAGGACGAAATGGTCGTCCAGTACTCTCGGGTTTTCAGTGGTGGTCTAGCTTAGATCGAAAAATGAGTTGAACCATTAAAATTATTATTCTCCACAAATCCCTAATCTGATTACAATCAAATAAATTTTCGTTAGTACCACATCAATGTCTGGTTTGTCCTGCATCTTAAGATCATTTGTAAATATATGAAATGAAGAATACTTCAATGATCATAAAAATTCGGTACGTTGGGTAAAACTGTTTGATGATTTTAAATTGAAAGATAAATTAATTATTAGAATACATTCACAGATCGTTTCGTTACATGAACGTTATTATTATCTGACCAGTTAATTATTCTTTTTATTCAGATGATCAATGTGAATACATAGTAGTCAAATTACTAATAAGTTGATATAGGAATTATTTATTCATTGTTTATTAAAAGTTATCTGTATTTTATTTTGATTTATATTTGATAAATCAAACCTATAAATTGAATGAGAAATTTTATTCAAAGGAAAACAATAATATTTATGTTTCAATTTATTTCAGTGAATTTTAGCAGTGATTTTATGGATACAGAACAATCATTGGCATCAACAATATCTTATGGTGAAACCATAGATACAACAACATATAGTGTAGGTAGGTTCATAAAATATTACTATTTATATGTTCCTATGAGTGTTATATTGAGGTCTGGTAAGGTTATTTTACTTATTTATGTTTACTTTGATAATACACATTGTCAATATTAATGTAAGATGTGGTGTAAAAGATTAATAACTTTCATGGTGCTAGAATCAGCTGTTAAATTGCTATTGTGTTAGAAATAAGACAATGCGCTAGGGGTTCGATCATTTTGTCGTCCATCAGAATGATTCATCAGGAACTTCGCATTTTTTTCTTGAAATTCAAGTTCTGTTGGTTGCAAAAATATATCGTCTCAAAATGGTTTGATTGCTAAAACGTTTTGGCCATATTCATAACTAGTTAACAGGACAATTAAACTATATCGAATTGCATATCACATACAATTACAGAGTTATTCAGTAAAATAGAAAAACCAAATAGTAAGTCGTTAATTTGCAAAATATTATTCCATCATATCAAACCAGACTGTTGCTGTTGCAATCATCAATCCATTGTCACACATTTCATTGTTCATGCGTTTTCTTACAAATTGCATTGTGCTTCCGCTCTTCCTTTCTTGATCTTCCCCTATCTTCTGCTACCAGACATTACGTTCTTTAACTCGCGTCACATACTACTTATATCAATATAAGTAGCACACAGTAATTAAACCTCATCACCTAACAATATTAATGGTAGTGCTGTACGGAAAAGGTAAATCTTATAGTTGTTTTTTTCATGGAAAACCTAATAATATAGAAATAAAAGTCAAACACATACTCAGGTTATTATTAATTAATTTAGCTCATATTTCAATATATGCTTTAAAAATTCAGTTCTGACTAATCAACGTGAGAAACTACAGTCCCTACTAATTATCAGCATCATTTAACAATTTATAGTTTTAGCTCTTCATATGAGTATAATACAACCACCATACACTTTCATCAACGAGGAGGATATGATAACACAGATGAATATATAGTTTGTGTAATTCTATGCATAAAACTGCACACTACGAATGTGGATCGTTAAATCTTGACTCGATGGTATAAATGAATAGTAATAATCGGGATATCTGAAAGTTCTAATTTTCATTCTGCCTACGGGTGTTGATAGACATCCCTTAAAATTAATAAACTGGAAACCAAGAATCTGTATTTTGTTCCTCATTTACCAATAGTTCTCTACTTAATGCAAACCCTCAATTAACACTGACTTCGAAAATAGATAACTGAATCCAGGTTAAACGATGTGTTTCTATGTTGTGACTAAAAAGTTCTTATAATATACATTCGTTTGAACTTCAATGTCATGGTATCGTTTCCTTAGCTAATACCTTTCCTTAAAATTCGTGAATCCTAGAAAACATGACCACTATCAAACTTATTCAGTTGAACTAAACATCCCTGGTAATTATTTTTTCAATGATTAAATAATTCGATTCACTTATGGCTTCAGAACAATGTAGTTATATGCAGAACCGATGGAATGTTGTTAGCAGTGGAACTTAAGACGCTTGTTTCGTCCTATATGAGACTCGTCAGTTGATATTCGCTCCGAAATTTGAGTCCGGTACCTTTCACTTCGAACACTAACTCGTTCAGATAACCACTCGTCTGTGAGAAAGGTATAAGACTAAACCAGTGTCCTAGGTTTCACTGGTAGCTAAATTCGTCAGTTTCATGTAACCTTGTGTCATAGTGGCTATATTGTGGCGATCCACAGATTATGCATTGATGCAAACCAAGAGTGACCAAATTTGAGTCAAAATATCATCAAAGGGATAATCCAAATCGTTTTCAATTAAATTAATTACATATTTGCTCTCACGTATGAATATGGTTGATGAATGAAAAATAAATGACCCAATCCAGTGCATATTTATTTTTAATCATTTCTTTTTTAAAGCCTTGAATTTTACAATTCAAGGAACTAATAGTTCACTAACATGGGATGATGATCTACTGAACACCACTTCAACCACTTATCAAGAACTATCTCGAAATGTTTGTGAACTAGTAAGTAAATTTTATCCTTGGAAATATTAGTAACATTTGGTTTGTTGTGATGACACATTTAAGCGAAAGTACTGTTTCGTTGTCAGTTTTTTTCCCGACACACCAGTCAATTTTTATAAAAAACACTCATCTGACTTTAACTAGACAGTATTTATATATATTTATGATCTATAAAAGGGTTACCAAATATCTAAAATGCATATCAATAGTGTCGATGTACTTCTGTAATAATTTTTGAATTTTAAGTAACCCTAGTTAAATGTTTAGCAATTTTCAGATGTTACTGAAATACAACACACTAAGTAAATCAGCTTTGATTCTTGTACATGTTGAGTATTTATTTGATGATTACCTATGAAGAATAACGCCCGAATAATTGGCCTAGGTCAAATAAATTACGCAACTCATCTTTATGGAGTATTGCAAAACTTTTAGCTTTTATACAAATCATAAACCAACCAATGTTAGACCACCACTCGTCCTACTGCGAGATTCCTGAGCATTTCGCGTCCACAATCATGTGCTCACTAGTGACTGACTTCAAGAGCTAATTTCTGAAGTTCTAGTGGGAATCCATGACTATTGAAGTCCAATCCGTGTCGGGTATGAAGCAGTTATCCCCCGAGGACAATACAAGACGGTTGTGCAATATCTTGGATTGATTGAGGTTAGACATTAACGTCGTTGGATGATGGCTTAGTGGTCTAGATGTTAAGCGTTTGAGTGATTCCAAAGATCCTGAATCCGGGTCCTTTGTACAGGACATAATAGTATGAATAAACTTGAAATAACCTTTTAGTAGTGACGCACTATAAAAACTATAGATTTTTATGTTAATTTGTGAAATACAGAATTAGTGGAGAGGCTGTCTAATTTGAGTAGTTTGTTTAAAGGAATTAGTGTTCTCTGCTAAATAGTAATGTCATGATTTACTACTGTTCATAACTCTACGGTTTGAAGATCTTAGGGCTTTAATTAACACAATTAATACATGTAAAACGAAACAGAAAAACATTTCTCAGTTACATTTACCTTTCATGACAGTGAATCTCAACGAAGCTACATCACTTTAGAGCTCAAAATTTCTATGGATTTGAAGAATATCGGGTGAAAAAAATTGTTTCATTTTTCAGTATTCAGTTATGGAGATTATTAAGTTGTGATCAAGATTATTTGTGACTTTTTACAGATTTACGAATAATTGAAGGGTAAAATAATAGAGCAATTCATCCTTAGCTAAAACAGAATGTAAAATATTCTCATTTTAGTGGTTTTATTCGAGTTCAATACAAAGTTATTTTTAATAAAACTTCTATTTGCAAGAGCCTTGTAAACGCCAATAGAATATCAGACAATGAAATTTTAACCATTATTTTAGAACTATAATTAAATAGTTACACAAACGATTTTGTTGTGTATAGCAAAAGTGGATCATGGTAAATATAAAGTCTTTATTTAAACTAAAACTCAATTGAGTTATGAGATTTAGACTCTAGGTGTAGCAATGTATATTTACGTTTAAACGATAAATAGGGATGGAAAATATATTATAATATTGTTAATCAATCTCATCATCATATGATGAGACCACTGATTTTTATTGAGGACTAGTCGTTGGCTCAACTGTAATGATTATTTCACAACCATGAACCGTCATGTGATTCAGTTATTATGGACTAACTACTCTAAACTGTGTATAGAGAGTAAGTGTTGACCATTTGTTTACCTTAAACAATTTGATCCAATATTGTTATTGCTTATTTGTTTTATATTAAGATTTCGTAACATAAATAATGTTATGCCTATTAGTGTTATTATTCTTTGCTACACATTTAACTAAATGAAATAACAATCAACTTACCTATCAGAGTTAACAAAGATCAGCCCAAATCCAAGTGATAAACTGCTATCACAGTCTATTCATCAGTTATTGTCTTTTTATTGAACCTCGAAAGTTTACCAACAAATTACAAACTTGAACAGAATTTCATTGGTGACAGAACAGTTTCTAAATTGAAAAAGCTTAAAGTGAAATTGTTACAAAGTGTAGCAATAAAAGAATGTAATCTATGGAAAGTAGATAAAATAATTAATATTAAGCCATTATTAGTGACATTACTTCACCTTTACGTAATATGACAATTATTAGAACAGTGTTTCTGACTTCAGGCGCATTTAGATTATCTAAGAACACTTAATTTCATATAAATAATTCGATAAGCTATAATTATCGATAATAATTCATTCATATGCAAAGATGGGTAGTGTCTAGTAGCGGAATCCAGTACGCGCGTTTCATCCTATATGGGACTCGTCAACTGGATGCACCTGCATCTGAGTCGATGATCACTCTGATACTCGAACCCAGTACCGTTCGTTCCAAAGGTCACCGCATTATCCACTTAGCTACTGAGTCTTGATAAACACTCGCTTGTGAAACGGGGTGAAGTTTAAATTCACTTGGTATTGTTTGTTTGAATCTTCCCATTGATGTTTAGGGTGCAGTTGACCAGTCTCTTACTGGTATATGTGCATACTGTGCGTATTGCCTCGATATTGCCTTAATTTACAAGCATTATAAGCAAAGATGAATAGTGGCTAGCAGTGGAATCCAGAACGCGCGTTTTTTTAAGCGAACGGTACTGGGTTCGAGTCTCAGAGTGAACATCAACTCAGATGCAAGTACATTCAGCTGACGAGTCCCAAATAGGATAAATGCGCGTCCTGGATTCCATTGAGAGTCACTATCCATCTTTGCTTATAATGCTTGTAAATTAAGGCAATATCGAGGCAATACGCACAGTATGCACATATGCCAATAAGAAACTGATCAATTTCAGTCCTAAACATCAATGGGAAGATTCAAGTAAAACAATGCCAAGTGAATTAATTAATCCATACGTTTTAATAAATATCAGATTACAAAAGTTTTGTCTGTTGACAGAATACGTTTTTATGTTTTAAATGAATCTCTGAACTTAAGATAACATTTTATGAGTGATAATAGACTGAATATAATAGTTTATTACCAATGTGTTGTTCGGTTCCCATTCTTGAGAAATGCCAAATATTTTTTGATTAATCATGAGCCGACCTCTGATTAGCTTACTGTATCAGCTCTTCCTCCTGCAAGAAATACGTTTGACTGTACTAATTAAACAAGGTGATGCATCAATTAGTGTAGGGTTAGATTCGTCGCCAAATATATGCAAATCTTAACAAATATTTCAATAAACGGTCCATAATTGCAAATTAGATACGATATTCTATATAAAAAGTATAATTTAACACACCTGCGATACGTTATAGTTTCGTATTTTACCTTATCATGAGCCTACATGACAGTTACGGACTACCATAAGTGTGATATTATGTTCAAATCTCTTGGAAAAACTAATTTCACCAGTACATTATAAAGAAATACTATATGAGATATTGGACTAATACTAAACAGGATAAACTTAAGAAGATCCAGACATAACTTCGACTGATAACTCATATATAAGTCAGAAAGCGATACAATGAAATTTCCAGTAGTGAAATTAGTTTCACTGTAAACAATATGATGTTCAGTAAAAATAGATCAAGTACATCACCCTCAACTAAATCAATCATTTATTTGTGATCCTTCTGTTACATATGGAATATTTAGTAGATATATTAAAATTATTTAAAATAATTAACAAACTATAATTATTTTCTAAGGAGATTCATAATTTTAAAATAACACTGTGACTATAATGCGTTATTTACACCTAAAAATGTTTTGAAAATAGAAAGATGTAATTTGAATAATCCGATTCTATTTATCCGTTGATATTTAGTGAACAAGATCACCAAAGGGGACAATCGAATGTGTTTAACACAAAATTACAGAACTTGTTAATAAAATCTAACAATCATAAAGTGAATGCTTAATTTGCAAAATGTCCACCAATTGTCTCGAAATGACTCAGACTCCATTGTTCTTGCATTTTCATACAAATTGCATTCTTTTTTCATTCTTTACTGTTCGATCCTCTTGTGTCTCTGCTGCCAACCTTCTGTTCATGACTAACATCACCTACTACTTGTGTCAATATAAGTAGCACACACCACAGATACAATTCATATGGTTTCACTTAAGTTTCTAATATCCGACTTTGTTAAAAAGCAGTATGTAATTGTGTATATAATTCAAGAGTTATTTATCTAATAACTTATAAAGTGCTTCATCAAAATTCTTCAACTTATTGTTTTCTAATTAAAGATTAATTTCTTAGTTTTCATATACTAGTACTTAAAAACTTGAGTGATGTAACGAATTTTTCCTGTGAGTCGTTATGGAGATAACAATGAGATACGACTGATTTGTTGTATTCTAAATAAGTTGTTATTGTTTTTGTTTTGTAATGGAAACTAATTAATATTATCAGAAAGAATTAAACGAATCAGGCACATCTAGGATTGAGACAAACATTGAGAACGTGATATATTTAATTATTAGTATTAATTTAAGTAAAACTATGTGTTCACTAATGACATTTATGTTTTTTTATTACTACAAAATCGTCCAACCAAAAAAGCAGTCGGTTTTTGATTGATTGCTTTTACTATTTGACGTCTATCAGCTTCAAAACGAAGACCTGTAGTAAAACACAGTGTGTTATCGACAGATGTTAAGAATCTTATAATGGTTCCTGGAAAACTGGAAAGTTCGATGATAGAATGTGTTTTTGATATGAAAACACTAGGAAAATCTGTTGATTGTCGAAAGTTGTTCTATCCCAAGCTACTGACGACGAAAAATGTGATATTAACGTCAAAATATATAAGGTTTGAACCACGTTTATTGTAGGACATATAGAAGTATGATATTCCAATGACATTCTTTACTAGCATCACTGATGATTATTATCTGCCTAGTACACCAGTAAGCTGTCGTTAAAATCCTAAACATTGAAACCAGACTAAGTCTATGTTTAAGTCTACATTTTCTTTGCCTATCAATAGGCAATCAAATGGATTTAACCCATTGTATATTTTTGTCGGTCTCTATAAAGTAACATTTTCAGCTGTCATCCAAATGACAAATTAAGATTCACTAGGTATAAGTTCAATGATTTAAATAAACAAGACACGAAAAAATATTTTACAAATGGAACAAGCTTTCATATAAGTTGTTACGTCAAACTGTTGGAAATAATGTAAACAAACTACATGCCACTTATTTGCATCATGTTAATTACGTGTTCTAATTCAGAGAAAGAATAAATTCCACTTAAAACGATTAAGTGTGACTAAAGTTTTCATAAGTGAAAGAAAGTTCTTAATAAATATCTATCCTGCAGATTAAAGTACTCAAAAGAATGTAGGAACTGTTATTTCACAGATGTATCTACTGAGAAGTATATTCATTTATTTAATATCAATAAATATTTTTAAATAAAACTTTCAGCTTTTAGCAGCTATGAGATCAATTTTATCATCTCTATGGATTGTTGAATGTGGTACCATAAAATTCAGAAAAGGGTCCATTAACGTTGATGCTGAGCTTATTTTAATGGTGAATTCATCATCATTTGTTACAACACTTGAACCTACATCAAATGTGTTAAATGATACTAATATAATCAAAGGAATAAATGAGTATGTTTCAACTGTTGATCAAAATAATACATTTGGAATTTACATTGATCCAAATTCAAGTATCTCATTATCATGTAAGTCATTGGAAAAATTTCCAAAAGGTATATATATATATTCAATCGCATTCGAGTTGGTTGCACCCATTTACCTAGATCTGCTATTTTAGATCCTCATAATTTGAAATAATACACTGTACTTTATCTATACTGTGAGGTAAATTATGTACGATATTTTAAAATATCATATTACCCTACAAAGGCGATACCTGTTAAAATGAATACATTATAAATAATTAGGGAATAATAATATCCGAGGGGAAATTAGCTTGTTGAATATATCAGCAACTTCTTGAAATTTTGGGAATTTTTGATAATGAGGCTACACTGACCACATGTTGAATTTCTTACCAATTTTTCTGTCAAGTAAATATTCTGTATAATAAAGTAATGATTTACAGTTGATTATCCTTGTTGCATTGTTCTGTCTTACTGTGCTTTACTTTTCTTAGTTTAGTCCTAAAAGCAATAGAAAATATTTAATATTTTTATATTTCGAGAATGTAAACTAAATTTCTAACACTACAACAAAAGAAAACCCATCAATCAATAAATTAACAAGATCTTACGTTGCTTGCTCTTAGTATATAAACTTTAGAAAGAAGGCGGATTTTATCTCTACCTAAGTTTATGTCAAGGTCTTTGTAAATACTAGTAGATACTTCAAGAACGATCACTATATAGGTCTAGTCATTTGGTCGCATTATCTACAGTTATTGTCAGAACATCATTTCAGCATGAAGTGATAACGTAAGCACAAATGTGTTAAATGCATAAATTATTTTTGATAGGTGGATGAACTCACTTGTTGTTAACAGACTTAATTAACGGTATATTTGCTTTTTATAAATAATTTCTAAATTCGCGATAACTGATTAACAAATCCTGGAAACATTAGTTGAAGTTGTTAGATATCAATTTAGTCGTTTATTCATCCAGAAAATATTATTTGTGCATAATAATTATTTGTTCTCCTTACACTACATTTTTTGTCGAGGTCAATGTTTGACATCTAGTTATGCTTAAATTAGGTTACTCTTCATAAAATCTACCTATTGACAGACTAAATGGATTAAAATTATTTGAAATAGAGGTCCGTGATTATTCGCACATGTACGCTATGGTGAATGCTACAATGGATTGCAAATATTTTCTCATTTACTGCAAAAATGGGAGTTACTGAATAAAAATATGTGAGCTATTCCAAAAGACGAGAGTATGATTTGCGTGAAACGTTAAAAAGCAAACCAAATGATACTTAAAATAAGAAGTTATTTAATCGATAAGATTGTGTTATGATACATTATTTCTGAAGCTATATATGAGCTATTTTGTAACAATAAGTATGTTCCCCTGGTTTAGCGATCTCATGAAGGATTGATAATATGCAAATGAAACTAAGAAAAGTTTTGTACAGCCAAATGTGAGAAATATGGTTAAACTTTTTATTCATCTCATTTCACAAACAAAATGAATTGTTGGTAAATTTTAAGAAAGCACCTCAATCAAATGAAATTTCTATTTACTGGTGACAGTTAGCAAACATTTAGATGAGTCATTTAAATAGATTGCATAAGACCGTATTCTTGACTGACATTTAGTTTTCATCCCTGGTAAACCAAGATATCTGAATTTTCTGTCATTAAGCTAATTTGAAAGAATTTGTGCAAAGCAACTGTTTAGATCAGATCGATCAATCCAAGTGGTGATAGGTTACTCTATTGAGTTTGTATTGACATTATCTCAGTTACCCTCCCTGTAATCTACTGATCTAGATACAGTACATATTGCAAAGTTGAATGAATAATCGTTAAGTAGCCATATCAACTAAATAAGTCAACGGATTAATCGAAAAAAATGTTGAATCTGGGAGTTATTTTAGCACGCTTAGAGCATAACCTGTCAGGAGTACATTCAGACTATTTCAACTGAGATAATAATCACTTAAACTACGCAAACTCTGCTTATCCATCTGAGTGAATGACACCTGGAATTGTGGTAAGTATTTTGAAAATTACAATTCCAAATGAAAAAAACATAACTCAGGAATAATAAACATAATAAATAAATTTTTTTTATAGCCATATGAGTAGAAAAGTTGTAATTCCTACATTTCGTGACTTAATGTAAGCCACTTGTTTAGAGCAAATGAATAGCCATATTATGGTTATTTAAACTACTAGGCTGTTCAAACTCATTCAGTCAGAGTTCGGTCAAAGAGAAGTGAAATAAACGTTTGGTGTTAAGAATACTTCAATCTAACAACTAAGAAATGTTATTTAAGTTTTTTATTTACTTACTACTTGACATGATATCATGATAGCTTTCATTTGGGTGTTCTTGCAAGTGATATATGTATATGTACATAATCAGTGGTCTTAAATTAACTAACAGTTAAATATAACATTTGTATACCTTTATCTGATTTATTTCTTATATTATCCTGTAATTGTTTACATTGTTTAGTGATAACGATAAGTATGGAATCAACAATACCGTATGACGATCAGGTTATATCTGATGTCATATCATCTGAAACATCTTCGTCTTCAGATTTCCCAGTTAGTGTGTATTCAACAAGTACAGGTTAGTCATTGTCCATTTAAAATAAATTAATTATCCATAGTAAGCAGTTTATCAGATTAAAGGTTTGATGATTCATGAGATGAGATCGTTACATAGTAAAAATCAGTACCTGACTTCTGAAATAAAAAATATCAAACTCAAATGATGCGAATCAGTTGTCATTCTAATTCTAGGATACAAATCCTTTTTGTTGAACGTTAGATTACTCGGCTCTTAGATGAAGAAAGCAATGCAGATTGCATGATGAAAGAATTTATACGTTAAATTACACAACAATAACTAATCATTAAATTTCAACATGTCATTATTACTTCTTCTATACTACTGAATTCAATAGTCAATCATTTAATAAAATTTTGCGATGTCATTTGGATAAATTGTGATAACTTATTATTCTTGTTTATTGTCAATAACAATTTAAATAAAACATAATACTTCTGAATTATACTTTTCACTGCAATTGGATATTTTAAAAGACAGTCGATTTTTACCAAAAGAAAACCTAAATCAAACAGATATCCTGTACTTTTCTTTTATGATTAACTTTCCATGAAGCATAATCAGCTTATCAAACATGAGTTTCTTGTGATTTCACGACTATTTCTAACACTTATAATCATGAAAAGCAATAAATTCTAAGTTACTATAAGGCTCATTCAACCGGTGAAAAACTAAGTTCTGTGTGAAAGGCTTCGAATTGTGTTATTATTATTATTATTATTACTCTTATCATTATCCTTATCTCCTTTTACCCCGTTTCCAGTCTAGTTGACCTTTTATTTTCATATATAAATGCTCTTAACAAGTATATGTGTGATCAGATTGTTCGAAATGTATTGCGCTAATACATCACATAGTTCTGATAATCTTCGTCCTCTAATTACATTATCGAAATATATATATATATATATATATATATATATATATATATATATATAATGTTGGATGATGTACTAAATAGTTATTACATTTATTCATAGTTCATCTAAGAACAGAAATAACTTTCCAATATGAAAGAATAATTTACATAGACTGAGCAATAATACACTCATGTAACTAAAGCACAATACCATATGAAATAATTAGAACAAATCCTTAAAATTTCATAAATCGTAGCACTAATTGAGTTATTATGAATAACTAAGTACCAACAAAGTTTAAACTATGACTCGTTGAAAAAGACTGGATTTATATAAAGAAGTAAATCATTACAACATAAAATAAAGAAAGTAATTAGTCTGAACATATTCAGATCTGAAATAACATCAAATATAACTTACTTACTTACTTACTCACGTCTGTTACCCCTCGTGGAGGAGCATAGACCGCCTATCAGTACTCCCTATCTAAACATGTCCTATGCAATCCTTTCCAGTTCTTTCCAATTGTTATTCATTCTTTTCATATCTGTTTCTATTTCCCGACGTAATGTGATTTTTGGCCTTCCTATTTTCCGCTTCAGTTTCATGATTCCAACATCAAATATATACATTTAAAAATATTAACTATGATAACAATAAAAAATAAATACGCTTAAGAACATAAACGTGAACTTATCAGAAGGTAAAGAGAGAATAAGTGAGAAGTATAAATAAAGAGGATAACAACAAAAAAACATATAGACAATGAAGGAAATAGCAAAAAACTTTAAAAATTAATGAAATTCATTCAAAGTGAAGTACTGGACACAATGAATAACATATTAGGTATTGATTAAATATTGATTTTAAAAAATGAAAGAATAAAAATCTACAAAATTCGAAATCGTTAAAATTAACTCATCAACAAAATGTTCCTTAAACTCAAAAAAAGGAAGAACAAAAACGAAGGGAGAATAGGAAAACTGTTCGGAAAAATAAGGAAGAAAACAGAACAAAACGGAACAATGAAAAATAAATTGATGAAGCAATCGAAAAGGAAAAAAACACTGAAAGAAGTAGTGAAAAAAGGAATGAGCGAAATGAAATTTAAAGTCGAAAATCTTCAATAAAACAAGTAGAATGATTATCGAAACCAAGATAGATACCGATACCACCACAACGATAACGATCTTCACAACATCCACTATTTCCACACTTGAGTTTGTCACCTGGCCAATAGCATCATCATTAATGACGTCAACACAACCAGTAGTGTGACTACCACCAGCACTGGAAAATCTACATCCACAATGTCAACACATATCAGCACGACCAGCATTGCTTTTACCAGTGCAGTCACATTGACCACACCGTTCATTGGATTCACAATACCAAAGGAGATAATCTTCATCGCTGATCAACATATTCCAAGTATGCTGTAACTTGTCATTCCATCTGTTTTTGTATTTACGTCCACGTCTACAATGCACATTTTTTATTCTACTGACGTGGTTCATAGTTCCGTTCTTGGGATTTCTCATACGTATTTATTTGCTGACTCCGATATTTTCTCGCCGCTTTGTTTTGATGTCTCATCAGTTGACGATTCCTCATTTTCCAGCTCTGTCTTCTCCTATCTTATTCCTAGAGAGTTTCTAGTATAATTTTTATACCTACTATTAACATTGCTAGACCTTTTATCAATGATTTCATTTTGTTTATTTTTCAGGCGGTGTTCCTCTATATGATTCAGGTATGTTTAATATTTTTGCTAGTTTGGTTCTTAGTCTAAATCTCCTTTATATTTTCACAGAATATCTTTTTACTTCACTTTGATCATTTCTACTATTCTCGATAATTTTTTTTGAGTTTACTAATTAATCTCATAGTGAATACAGCGCCCAAATTTTGCAACTAATATATCATTTTGCTTTATTAAGGTAACCTACATTCTTTTAGCGAAAATCCAGAACTTGTGAATATCAAATCAGTATTATTTTCATGTGTTACGTTGACCTGGTTGTTGTTTCTTTGTCATCTTAACGGCAAATGACAAGTTTGCAAAAGATGCTTGATTATAGCACTTCTTATTGTTTATGTATAAATGAAGTAATTTATACCGAAAACAGCTTCTATCGCGCAAGAAACTTTCTGGAGTCTATTAATTCTGCAGTTCGTCAAGTACTTTGTGAAACATTTTTTCTCCTCATACCTCAGAACCTCCATATTCAGTATGAAGTCAGCAACTGAAAATGTATATTAATGATTAGTTATTATATTCTAGTAATAATCAGGCAATTAAGCGAAAAGTTCCTCAGAATAATTACTCAAATGTTGGAGCCAACCTCAATTCTATCACGTGAGATCGCACGTTTTACTCTATCAAATTAAGTGAAACATTCACCATATGCTTACTATATGTGGAGATTTATTCATTCAGGCCAGAAAAAAGTTTTACTGAGAAACTAATGATGAAGAAACGGCAGTCAGACATCATGAGACGTTAAAATATGGTTTGTAGAAAGGAGAAATATATATGGAGTATAAATGACGCTCTTCATAACTTTCATAATACTTTTAACGTACTTTTATAGAAATTGTGTTTACTTTCTACTTATTCATCTAATTTAAACTTCGTTATTAAAAGAGGAGTATGGTAAAATGTTAAATCATAAAACAATAAAATACTTTTAAAATTAAGGTGGATGAAAACTTATAATCGATTAATTGTTCAATGGACATTAGGTCATAGAGTAGCATAATGTATTTCATACCTAAGTTCAATACATTCTTAGTCTAAGTTTCATTGAGTTTCAGTCATTAGGTGAACTCACTGAGAGTAATCAAAAACAGGTAATACAAATTTAGGTTTGTCTACCAGCAAGTGATTCTCCATTACGCAATAGTTTTGAAAATTTTATGTGGTTTGCTTCAGGTGTTACCATTAACATAATTATTTGTTTAAATTTATTGATGTCGGGAATCGAATTCTTTCACATTTGCTGCAAGGTTTTGGTTGATGATGATTGACTGACAAGGCGATCTAATCTAGTTTATTACACCGTCATATAATAATGAAGAGACACATTAATGTGATGACAAACTGGCTGGTGAAATATGTTTAATTTAGGTCGTATACAGAAATATGTTGAATGCAAAGGCGAATCTACAGAAGCGATTAGAAAATTGGAAATCATTAGAAACAGACCTGATGTGAGCAGTAGATTATGTGAAGTGACCTGATTGAGGCATTCAGTGATTTGACCTTCTACTCACTCCAAATTGTTTACTCCTGAATTCACGTTTTCATCATTTGTGTGCTTATCTAAATTCAAGTTCCTTTCTCCAATGATTTGTGTTTGTGTTTCTGCTTGTCTATCTGCATTGCATGTAACCAAACTCCATGTGTTCTTTTAATGAAAATTTTCTTCGTTATCTACTTAAATGTTTTATAGAAGGCAACCTCACGAAAACAGTAGTAATCGGTAAGTCAAAATATGATATAGCAGTTTGTTTTGTCACACCAATTTATTTTCCTTATTGATTGTTTTGATTCTGTTTTCCATTTCATTCATCAATACGTGGTCACATTGCATTACATAAACGGTTGGGTGAATTGTTCCTCTTGGAAATTCAGTGTAGCGAAGAGATGTCACATATAGTACGCTCATATATTGAAATTATTTGTCAATCAGTATTTATTGTCGAGTTTCTCAGGGTCGTCTGGTCGCGTTGGCTACTATCTATGTTAAACCGGAATGATTCATAATCTTTCCAAGTGGAACAATTTAATTGTATTCGTATAAAAGCTAACAAGTACTGAAATTTACTGTAACTGTGGAAGTCACGTTATGTTTGTTTGCTGAGCGTCACTTCACTCACAATATTGTTACACTTATTAACCAATGTGTGTGGGTAGACATTACTACTTGGTGTAGAATTCTTTATTTTCATAACAAACCAAGAGCATATAGCATTCAGTGTGCATGGATGTGGGAAATCAAACAACCATTTACTTCATAGTGTCCATCACTTTGATAGATCATAATCGAATACACTTGGATTTGTGGTGTGGAGTTGAAGAGAGGTCGTTCAGTTTTGTTTTGTTGTGCAACAGTAAGTCAACTCAATATTCTCCTTTCACTGAGAAGTCGGATTTAAATCAACGAACTTTGACTTGTTGGAAACTATTTAATTTCTTTTGTAGCAGTCTCATCAATGCTGACTAGATTGAACAAGTCTTTGGAGTGGAATGACAGTTTATTGGATCCTAGTTCCGATTTATATCGAAATTATTCAGCTGAAATTTGTAATTTGGTAAGTTTGTTACCGAGTTCTCAATTGGATTTACATAAAAATGAGGAAAACTGATGAAATGTATAGACAACCTGTGTCTTTTGATAAAGGTTGAAGTTTGACATTTGAAGACGGTTTTTGGAAATATATGTAGCTATTTAATAGCTATTTATAGAAGACAGAGTATTATTTAACTGTTTTCTCCAACTGTGACGAATAGTACCTGTAGAAATTCAAGATGTTGTTTGGGTAGATTCCATGATCATTGTTTTATGCAATTATGGATTTAACTCGTCGTGGTTAATAGTGTCCGTTCTTCACCATTTACCATGTAGATCATATCTCGTTTTACTCTACACAAACTGATGCAGTCTCAAAACACTCTATGGTCTCCAATCACTATATTGTTGCAATCAAATAAAGGCGAATGTGCTTGTTTCGTTTGATTATGCATAGCATAATTACCAGAAGTGGTCAACATGCACGGGCACGATCCTGTGATGGATCAGTCGTTTTGATATTATAAGTAGTGACAACTGAGGTTACCCAGTCGATAAATATATTTACTAATCCACGAGTTTGGAAAACCAATTTGTTCTCCTTCCACGTGAATGTAAAACTTCGGTGCTATAAAACTCCACCAAACTACTTGTTCGACATTCATACAACAATGATTTATGCCGATGAGCTAATTTCATCTAACCTAACATGAATGGCACCATGGGGTAGCCTCACTGAGCTAAGTGGCAGTACAGCACCGTCTGCCTGGTGTTATACATTGTGATGTCGCATTAACTATCAACTGCGACTAACTCATTTATTCATTCATTACTGACTATTCCATTGAAAAGCCACCGCTCACATTTCTGTGGCTTGAGATGCTGATTGATATCATGTGCTAAGGTTACCAATCGGAATTCTAACTCTAATTTCTTTTCCATTCCGTGTTTACTATTTCCTCCATGACCCAGTGTCCAAGCAATGACCATACCACAGGCATGACCCTCACCGTCCACCTTGTGGCGATGCAAGCCAAGCTCCTATTCTTCCACTACTCGTAAGTCCTTCTTTGCCTTCAAACTTGAGTCAAAGAGAGAAGTCAACAGACGGCCTCTACCATTCTTATACTTCAGGCATACGTGGACTCATATACAGTCGTGCTGGACCACATCGCACCACTGAGCGAAAAATCACAAGCATACATAGGCAAGCCGAAAGTGTTTGTGAATAATGCAAACCGTAAGTAGTAGACTGGCAAAAATCTGGGAGTGGAGAGTTGTCTATCAGTGGTTAACGGGTTAACCAAAAGCTTGTGGTTAACGTATTATATAGACACAGTAATCCAGTTGCTTAGTAATTATATAAGAAAAACATAGTTGATAGCAATAACAATATTCATGATAACAATTCGAAAACCATTTTCAAAATTTCCAACTTTTACAATATTCATCCCGTTATAACACGCACGATTTTCTTCTCACAAAATCTTCAAGCTTTTGGACAGCATATATTCAACTTATATTGAGGGAATAATCAATGTTAATTGCACAGTTGTTGGCTTCTCGCGTGGATCAGTTGTTGGAAATGCAGTATTAGTCATCGACCATAGTAGCACAAGTGGGAATTTCTCATCGACTGAAGTGACAAAAGACACTGTTCGCAATGCTGTTGTGGCATACATAGCAGAAATGGTTGCCAATGGGTCGGAGCAAGTGTACTTCGATACATCAAGTGGCTTGACAGTAGAAAGTGAGTGCATGTGATATTTTCGAGCTATATTGAAATTGAATTTTGTGTTTAACGTCGGTTGAATAGACCAGTTTATCCTGCGAGTTGAGCGCCACGTTCTCAATGCATCTTGGAAGTTGATGATAGGGGAATCCGACACCGGAAGCGAACGTTGTAGGATTCGACTGATTATTTCTCACGTTAAATATCACCTGCATAACAATTAGCATGCATGTATGATGTGATCATCTATTAGATGCTCTTAATTTTAGTTCATGGAACTGTTTGGTCCTATTTCAAATTTGTTGTTCTAGAGAGACAATAGAAATCTGTCTTATCCTCAGTCACTTGTATAGGACCTTTCCATATATGCTGTTTGATATAGAATTCCGTTTACATTTTAAAGAGTCTTACAGTTGGTGAGATCACAACACACGACGAAATGGAATGTTCAGTGTTCGATCAACGAGGAAATGGAATTGTTCACAAGTTTGAAAAACAACTCCATCACCTGCAAACCATCTGCTGCGAAAGTGTCTCGACTTCATTTACTGTCAAATACCTAGTCGCCTGCTATGGCTAGCAGCTAATCATAATCAGGATTAATTGTCATGTATACTCAGCTTTTTGTGACGTGAATAGATACACGTTTCTCATTGTATTTTCAGCTGTAATCCATGTGGCAACCACTGAGGTGATCACTGAATCTCAGAATATCGAAGATAACAAGACTACGGGTAAGTAAGTGGTTTTCAATTTTTTCACTGAGTCGATAATATACGCGAGAACTTATGTCTTAAGATTGCAAATTGTAGGAGTAAAATACTCTGAATATTCACTTTTGTGAGTTGATTCTTCGACCAGTAATTTTGACTGAAGTATTATTGAGATAATCTTCCTCAGATAAAAGAATATGGAGTGACAGTAAATTAGTTAGAAAAATCCAAAATATTATATATCAGTATTCGCGACAACGCAGAAATGTTTGAAGTATGTGTAAGGTCCCCATATGACATAAAATTAAAGATGTCACGAGTAATCAGGGTGTCGGAATGTAAGGCAGTACATTTAAAAAAGTAGATAAGAACGATTGATAGATCGAATAGTTATATTAAGAATGAATTAAGATGATGTGTATGTATGAAAATACATAGTGAAAGCAGCGAGTTATGCTTCACTTGGAAATTCATCCATAATCAAGTTCGCGTTCCTCATTATCTGCTTTTATGTCGAAAGTACAAGGAGATTGCTTCAAATGTAAAATCAGAAATAGTGAGGATCAACAACCAAAGAATAGAAACAAATAATAAATAGTAGAACAATCAATGAATTGACGAAACATCAATTGAGAATGAAAATGTGACCGTGGGATTTACATGTAAGGAAGAAACTGTAGATAGAAACATCGAGAGAAAATGAAGTTCGATAAATCGCTGAACTATTTTGAAAACACTTACAATTCTAAAGGAGAATAAAAGTGTACTGAATTCAAAGGCACGAAAATTTGGGAAAAAACATAGAAAGAAGAAAAAAAACATAGAAAAGAAAGGAACTACCAACTCAGAGAAAAATTAAAACAAGAAAAAGAGCAAAAACGAGTGCAAAAAAAAGATAGAAATAAAAAACCACAGAAGAGCAGAAAGGATATAATCGTGAACATGTTGTTCAAGAGAATCATGATATGCACGTAGGGATGATTGAATCAAAGACGGAGTGATAGATTGAACGATTGAAGGACTAATTGTATGATGGATTGCTTGAATAAAAATTTTGGTGTTGGATTTCGTCCATTGTAGATGAGAACACCACTGGCACGAACGAAGTGACGACGGAGACCGACACTACGGGAACTGAGGTTATGTTGACGGAGAGTACAACAGGTGAGTGTGTTAGTTGATTGTGTGTATGCAATGTACGCAGTGTTGTTTGTGTGAGATGTGTTTGAGTTAGTTGTGCACAGAACTGATACTACTGGTGATTTGTTGGATTGCATGTAGTGCACTCGATTGGATGGATGTGAACTAATGTGTGTTTGTGTGTTTGTGTGTGTGTGAGTGCACGAGTGTGTGATTGTTTGATTGATTGATTGATTGGTTGATTGATTGATTGTGTGGTGAGTGAGTGCGTGATTGAGAGAGTGAGTGAATGAGTGAGTGTGTGTGTTTGGGAAGGAGAGTGTGAGATAGTGTTTGGGTGTGTGTGTGTGTGTGTCTGTGAATGATAATGTGTGTTGTGTTGACTTAGTGGTTGGACAAGTGGATTGAATTGTTGATGGAGAGAATGCATGGGAGACTGATTGGATTAATGTTTTGATGAATGTTTTGATGAGTGGTTGTGCGAGTGTTTGTACGAGTGTTTGTAGGAGTGATTGGACGAATGTTTGGATTGTTGAAGGTTTAATCTATTTGACAGATTGATCGATGGATTGATTGATAGGTTGATTTGTTGATTATTTGAATGATCGACTGATTGATTGAAGGACTGATGTGATGATTGATTGATGGATTAGTTGATTGATTGATAGATTGATTGATTGAATAATTATTGGTGTTGTATTTCGTCCATTGTAGCTGAGACCACTACTGGCACGAACGAAGTGACGACGGAGACCGAGATTACGGAGACCGACACTACGGGAACTGAGGTTATGTTGACGGAGAGTACAACAGGTGAGTGTGTTAGTTGATTGTGTGTATGCAATGTACGCAGTGTTGTTTGTGTGAGATGTGTTTGAGTTAGTTGTGCACAGAACTGATACTACTGGTGATTTGTTGGATTGCATGTAGTGCACTCGATTGGATGGATGTGAACTAATGTGTGTTTGTGTTTGTGTGTGTGTGAGTGCACGAGTGTGTGATTGTTTGATTGATTGATTGATTGATTGAGTGAGTGAGTGTGTGAGTGAGTGAATGCGTGAGTGAGAGAGTGAGTGAATGAGTGAGTGTGTGTGTTTGGGAAGGAGAGTGTGAGATAGTGTTTGGGTGTGTGTGTGTGTGTCTGTGAATGATAATGTGTGTTGTGTTGACTTAGTAGTTGGACAATTGGATTGAATTGTTGATGGAGAGAATGCATGGGAGACTGATTGGATTAATGTTTTGATGAATGTTTTGATGAGTGGTTGTGCGAGTGTTTGTACGAGTGTTTGTAGGAGTGATTGGACGAATGTTTGGATTGCTGAAAGTTCAATCTATTTGACAGATTGATCGATGGATTGATTGATAGGTTGATTTGTTGATTATTTGAATGATCGACTGATTGATTGAAGGACTGATGTGATGATTGATTGATGGATTAGTTGATTGATTGATTGATAGATTGATTGATTGATTAATTATTGGTGTTGTATT